CCTCCTGGTACCTGCGAAGAACTTTACTGTAAAACCTCCAAAATGCAGCTTATGCTTTAGTCTACACACCTTCTGCTCTAGAACCCTCCAAAGTAAAAGAGAAGTAACGGTAACTTACTCAATTAACCTCCGAAGTAAAACAGAAATAATGATTATTATTATTTTTGATTATACTTTAGATGAAGGTTTACAGAACAAATAGCTTCTCATTAAACAGTACACACATTGTTTTAACATACTAGTTAACAACCCCACCACATGTCAACACCCTCCCTTCTTGACCTTGGGCTCCCTATTACCAGCTTTCCAGTCCCCTCCTGCCTTCTAGTCCCTGTCGCTGGGCTGTTGTGCCCCTTTAGTCTCATTTTGTTTTACGGGCCCAAACAGAAATATTGAGAAAGAAACGGCTGAGATCTGGTGCTCTGATACAGCCTATGTGGCATCTCAAAATTCCAGAAGGCTAGAGAGTCAGGTTGCAACATGTAATCCAGACATCTTCATTGTAATACCAGTTTATTTTGCCCATGGATTCTACCGCCATGACGTACGAAAGAGGACAGTGTCTACTGTGGGAAAAAATGGCAAGAATGAGGGCGAAGGTGCTGTATCAGGGATCGCAGAACACACTCAGGTAACGGCACATGCATGGAACCTAACTGTAAGGAGGGAGACCAGAGGAAACAAGAAAAGGCAGACAGTTGACGCTGAGTGATGAACACACAGGATTTCTTTGTGTGTGCTTGAAAATTTCCATTAAAAAAAAGTCTTGCCTAACGAGGTACAGTAGTCCAGTGACAAGGGCCAGAAGGCAGAAGGGGACAAGGAAGCTGGTGACAGGGAACCCAAGGTTGAGTAAGGATATTGTTGATGTGTTGTGAGATTGTTAACCATTGTCATAGGGCAACATCTGTAGTAACTTTTAAATGAGAAACTACTTTGTTCTGTAAGCCTTCATCTTAAGTGAGAGTAACAGCACAATTGGAAGAGTGTAGTCAATGTCACTGAACTGTGCATGTAGAAACTTTTGAAATGGTGTATCTTTGGCTATGTGTATTTTCACCAAAAAAAAAGGTTGAGAAGTTAGAGGGTTGACATGTTGTGGGGTTGTTAACCAATGTCATAAAACAATATGTGTACCACTGTTTCACGAGAAACTATTTGCTCCATAAGCCTTCACCTGAAGTACAATTAAAAAAAAAAAAATGAGGAAAAAAAAGTCATGCCCTAAAGCTAGATTACATCCCCAGAACATTAATGACCTAGGTTCCACACCTTCTTGGACACAGTTGTATAACTGCTGGTCACCAGCTTTCAGGGTAGAGGTCAAGGCTGAAATCAAGTGGATTCCCCTTGTCTGGTTCTTGCGCACTTCCTGCTGGCCCACCACCACAGTTCCCAACATGCCCCTCAGTCAAAACCCAACAGCAAAGTCTGCCTTTATAGGGATAAGAGGGTCGCTGAAACTGTTGTTTCTCAGAATTCAAAAGTCTGCTAAACCCCCAAGCCAGAACCAGACAGACGATAGGCTGAATTAGCACGGACAGGAAGTCTGTTTAGGGTCCCAGCCCAGAAGCTCCTATGAGCTGTTACTGCACAGAAGGAAGTTGGCAACAACCCAGAAATCAGAACGTGGCTATGCTGGGAAGGCAAATGACCCGAGTACTGAGCAAACTCCAAGCTCGTCCTTGGCGGATTATGGCCACATACCACCTTCTTCCTTTAACACCTTACAGGACAAGCGAGGAGACTAGCCAAGCCCTTATCTAAAGAAACAACGCCTCTTGCGAATCTGAGGGAAGGCATGTTGAAAAAGGTCGCAGTTATGGTAAGATAGCTTTGCTTGGTTCAGCCAAAGGCAAAGGATAGGTCTACTCCAGCCTTTAGAAAACAGTGAAAAGCAGGGTAAGCAAGACACCCGATGGGTTAAGTCAGTTTGTCTAGGGTGCAGGTCATCTGCAGTGGGTCAGCCCAGGAGGCTCAAGAACTTTGCCCATGAGAGGTGGGTCACAGGTACCCAGAGCTTTCCTCTTACACCTCTGACCACGGGTTTCACTCCAGCTCCATCAGCAATCTTTAAACTATGCAGCAAGGACCCCGTGTCCAAGGCGCAGGGCAGGAGAGAGAATTTGGACTCAGTCATGCGGCTCCATCACCACTATTCACAACACAACCAGAGTGCCCTCAAATGGCTTCCCACAACTGAGAACAAAATCCACATAACTCACCAAAGACTCCAGGGTCAACGTGACCTGGCCCTGCCCACCTCTCCCCGTCATCTCTTCCTGACTCACAAGCTCCAGTCACATTCCCTGAGATCATAACCTCATTCCCACCTCGAGACCTTTGCACTGAGCTCCCTCTCCTTGCCTGCTACTCCCCAAATCTGTGCGTGGCTACCCAGATCTCAGATCAAAAGCCACCGCCTCTGAGATGCCTTCCCTGATAACTCTCAGTAAAGCAGCACCTCCTGTCACTTTTCCACTGTACTTCTTCGTTGTCTTCATCCTTCTTCTCGCTGTCTGATGTTAGTATTTATTTGATTACTTTTTAATCATCTCTCTCTCCCCTGAGGAATGCAAGCTCCACAAGAGCAGGGATGGAACCGCCTGGTTCACCTCCATAACCAGAGAACATAGAACAAGGAATCCTTGTTGATGAAGGAACACTCTCTGGGTAGGTTGGCAGCCACTTTCTTACATACATACGCCATGAACATGCCTTTCAAACCAAAAATAAAGGCATGGTGCTTAATGAGGCTCTTTTTTTCCCTAAGATATGAATTTATATAGATGAAAATACATAAAACTAAATAGTATCTACATTTAATGAGGAGTCTACTTGAAAAAACCAGAATTACATAAAATTGGGGCAGTCCTGGAGAATCTGAGGTATACGGTCACCACAGATATGAAATTCAAAGTTTCTACTGTGCTTCTATTGTTTGATAGGAACCCTGGTGGTGCAGTGGTTAAGAGCTCGGCTGCTAACCAAGAGGTTGGCAGTTCGAATCCACCAGCTGCTCCTTGGAAACCCTATGGGGCAGTTCTACTCTGTCTTACAGGGTCACTATGAGTTGGAATCGACTCCACGGCAACGGGTTTGGTTTTTGTAGTTGTTGTTATTGTTTGATAAAGGAGCACTGGTGGCGCAGTGGTTAAGTGCTGGTCTGCTAACCAAAAGGTCGGTGGTTCAAATCTCCCAGCCGCTCCACAGGACAATGATGTGTCAGTCTGCTCCCGTAAAGATTTACAGCCTTGGAAACCCTATGGGGCGGCTCTATTCTGTTCTGTAGGGTTGCTATCAGTCAGAACCTATGCGACGACACTGGGTTTGGTTTTGGTTTATTGTTTGATAAATGCTTCCGATGACTCATGTGCTTTCAGCACTAAAGTGTTTCACCCTCAGATGACCATCATCCTTGTCACGGATAACAGAAAGAGTGCTCACTAGGGCAGGATGGGATTCCTGAGTGAGCGACTGGGTACACAGGTGGGCTCCTGGGTTCGTGCAGGTGCAGAAGCACCTCGAGCTCCGAATTCACAACACACAGTTCTGAGAGTTGGTGTGGCTTTGGGTTACATTTGTTCTGCATCCTGTAGGAGGGTACGTCACTAACTGCAATGCCAATCACCCAGGGATGGATTACCCAACAAGCAAGGTACACATGGGCTTACTTGTGCTTACTTACACTACTCTGTAGCCCACAATTTCAAAGATGCGGTGAAACCCATGTAAAACTGTGCACTACAGATTAGTAAGTAGACCCAACTAAGCCCCCACGCGTACTCTGCTTACCATAAGCTGGGGCACATGGTGCTAACTGGTTAATCTGCCCCTGCAATCACCTGACTGTTGTTAGCTGCTGTCAAGTTGGCCCTGACTCACGGGGACCCCGTGTTACAGAGGAGAACTGCTCCATAGGGTTTTCTTGGCTGTAATCTTTATGGAAGCAGATCGCCAGGCCTTTCTTCCAGAGCACTGCTGGGTGGGTTCAAACTGCCAACCTTTAGGTGAGCGGCCGATCACAAACTGCCTGTGCCACCTGGGCTCCTTACCAAGGGCCCTTACCAAAAAGCAGATTCTGATTCTGAAGTGGGGCTGGAAATTCTGCATTTCTAACACGGACACCTCTACTGCTTGCCAGAGGGTCATGGCTGAGAGATAAATCTCTAGCACTGCAAAATTATCACCTGCAGATGGGCTCTTGCTGAATGGCCAACCATGAGTGACCTGGTCTTCAAGAGATAAAACTATAGAGACCCTAATTAAGAGAAGCACAGAGAAACTTCTTGGGAACGAGATGAGTCAGCTGTCCTAATGTATAATAAACCAAATTTCTAAGGACTTAAAACAGAATCACACCACAGTCCTGACTTGTGTGCAGATTTGGGGGACTGTTTAACTCTGGTGTGAGAATTGTGAAGCACACTGCTTTCGAAGTTCGACCACTCTGCGGGCATGGGAAAATATAAAGGTTTGTCAACCATGTGTAGCAACAGGACTAATGTGCATCCACTTCCCCTTTCTAACTGTCGTGTTCCAGTTAGAAAACTGGTGTTTTGTTTTGTTTTTTTCTTTTTTTCTGGTTTCCCCTCCATACCACCAACCTTGTCCCCATGTACCGGCCCCAGGGAGGAGCTCTAAGGTGGTTGGTAAGACTCTGGGATATGGAATTGATCTGATGGGCGACACACCCACCTGTAGCCCCCTCCTCTGCCGCCCTCCGCTTGCGCTGCTGCCCAGAGTTCTCACCCCACTGGAGCCTCCAGCCTCACCTTCAGGCTCCGACAGCTGTAAAAAGAACTCGGCAGTGGCTGTATCGCTTGTGGTTCTTTATGTGTGAATGTCCTCGGGGACCAGGCTGGGAGTAGGAGGTGGCTGGAAGGGCATGGTTTGGGCATTCCTGCCTCCTTTCACAACCTTCCAACAATAAGGAGAGGACATGACCTATCACTGTCCGTGGCTTCCTTCCCAGTACTCAAAAACGTCAAAAAACACACCTGGCCTTTTTCCTCCAGCTTTTTATGTTCCTTTAGAAGTTGTTCCACATGCATCACGCTGTCTCCAATATCCGCAAACTCTGCTTGCTCTTCCAGCAGATGATCCAGAGCAAGTTTAACCTACAAAACACACAAGAGCAGCACAGAAATAGAATGACGAGCACCCGTCTGGAGGTATAGGTATGCTAGGACAACTAGAAAATCCAGAAAGGACCCTGGGCCTGTGCGCATCTATCTATACGGGCACATTTTTAAACAGTTCATGTACTTTCAGATTTAGCTGGGAGATGCGGAGATAGATGTATATGGAACATTAGTGCTACATTCAACAGATGCTCAATCAGAAAGGAAAAACCGCCATGCATGCCAACAGGAAAATGGGATTCTAGAACACTGTTAGCCCACTGAAAAAGTGAGAAGGGGGTGAAGAAGCAAGGATATAAAGAGGGAGCTGGATTAGAAGAGAGGGAAGCCCAATACCAAAGTGGTCAAGGGAGAGGCGATCCAGAGCTCATCACATCAGACAAGGAAGTTCTACTAAACGAGAAAATGGTACCTCACGAAAAGTGTGCTCGAAGCGTCGTAGCTGTAGGCACTGACTAAGCTTCAGGTGATGCTCAGACCAAAACTGACTGAATGCTTTTTCTGCTTCATCCAGCTGCACTATTAACCTGCCAAGAAAGAACGAGAGAGTGGCACTGTGGTGGCATGTTTCCACAGAAGTCCACGTAGGCCAACGTGGATGCCACCTATGTTCTCTGTCAGCATTATTAACGGTGGCATAGCTCCTGCTTATGAAAGTCTGTATCGTCTATGATGTCCTTTGTGCTCCGCCAGTTTCTCCACTTTCCATTTGCCAATCAGGACATCTACAGTGATAGGCAGAAACCTATCTCAGACGCTGTTGTTGCGCTTCAAAACGGGCCCCAGGTGACTTTACCTTTGTGTTTGTTTTTTCCCTAAAACTACAGGTAGGAGCCTGGTGGCACAGTGGTTAAGAGCTCAGCTACTAACCAAAAGGTCGGCAGTTCGAATCCACCAGCAACTCCTTGGAAGCCCTATGGCGTGGTTCTATACTGTCCTATAGGGTTGCTATGAGTCAGAATCGACTTGATGGCAATGGGTTTGGTTATTTTTTTCTGGTTTGGGGCTCTCCTGCAGCCCTGGCAGCATAATGGTTAGGAACTAGGCTGCTCACCAAAAAGGTCAGCAGTTGGAATCCACCAGCTGCTCCTTGGAAACCCTGTGGGGCAGTTCTACTCTGTCCTATACAGTCGCTATGAGTCGGAATCCACTCGTCAGCAAGAGGTTTGGGTAGGACTATAGGTTTGTAAAGCATAGCACACAGAAAAACTGTTATTTGTAAACAGAACAATAAATTTGCCTTGAAATCCTGGGATCAGAGTATTTCATAAGAGGAGAGAATAAAATTCTCATAAAAAGAGCTCTGTAAATGGATGCCAGATGGGTGTTTTATTGTCTCAAATACTACTCGTTTTTGGCCCCACCAAGACTCAACAGTAGCCTTTCCAATCTGTTCTTGGCTGTTTCAGATGATGTAGTTCTAGAGATTACCTCTGGGAAAAGCGATTCTACCCGCTCACTCACCTTCCTGTAGTAGCTATGTTCTCAAGTTCATTGGGATTGAGTTTGCTGGAGGGATTTTTGGTTGCTGGTTTTTGGATGCATGACAGCAATGTGGCACCTTGCTTTCTAAGTAACTTTAGCTCATCCTAGAGAAAGAAAAATACAATCTCTCTTAGAAGAAATTTAAAACATAATCCCATAGAATTTGAGACCAGGAGAATGACAGATTTTTTTCTCTTAAGAAATTCAATGTAGTTTTTAAAAATTAATCAATTTATTGGCAGAAATTTATTTCTTCGTAGGGAATACATACACATGACAAAAAACTCAAATTATACAAAATGGTATATACTGTAAAAAGCAAGTCTTTCTCACTTCTGTCTCCTAACCCATCTACTTTACCTTCCCAAAAGCAATGCCTGTTAAGTTTTTTGCATATCTTAAGATGTTGTTGTAAATTAAAAGCAAAACTAGCTAAGAAACTCTGGTTCTAACCCAAGATAGTGACTAGAAACAAGAAAATGACAGATATTGACTATTAATTTCTGGAAACTACCCTGCAGTTATAATGTAATAATTGCAAGTTGACCATGAAACTCTTTGTCTGTTCTCACCAATAAAGACCCCTCCTTCCCAGTTGTGGCCGTGCTCAATTACTGAAGGTTGGTAGAGACTGGCAGCAGTCATAGTTGGACATAGACAGATTTGTACTTCTAAGGCAACTCTATTCTGCTCTTCTTACATGAGGATGCTGGGCTCTGCAAAGGGGGCTGATGTGGCGCTAGCTCCTTTCAAATGCAATAGCTCTAGTCCTTGCACACCACAGGGCATCTCTCACTGCTCTGAGCCTTGATCACAAGTCAAAAGGGGTGGAGCCAGGTCTAAAATAGTGCTCTCTGGCATTGGTGGGGAGTTCTTAGTTTGGCTTCTAAGTCACAGGATGCTGGTTTAGTATGACCCTAACAGCTACAACAGACCCATGGTTCTAAGATTCAAACAAAACCATTTTCTCTGAGCCCGTGAACACCATATCTGTTCCTCCGGTCCCAGCCATCTCTCCAGCCTTCACACAGTAGAGAGCTCATTCCCCTTGGGAGGAGCTGTATACTTCCTGGAGCTGCTCACATAGAAATCCTGCACGCGCTCAGCCTCATGTCTTTGCTCCTTGTCTCCCATTCGACTCTAGTTTTTAGCCCCACTGAAAGCACCCCTCGTCCACATCCAGCCGCAAACCTGTCCCTGATGTTGTTGATGACACACTTGGCTTCTCTGATCCAGACCCTCACAATTCTCTGGACAACCCCTCTGGCTCTGTCCACTCCAGTTATGCCCAAGTTGGCCACTTGGCTGGCACTCCTGCCTAGGGATTGGACAACTCCCTTCTTCCCCACTCTCAGGTGCCTGCCCTCGTTTCTTCTTAACTCATCAATGCTCATTAAATATTTGCAGGTTGTATGAATTCATAAAAGTCTAAAGAAATCAGGTTGCAGATAAAGACGAATAAGGTGCAATGAAAAAAATTACTCATGACTAACTGTTCTTTCCCCCTTTTCCCTCCTCCTACCTACTGAAGGGAGTCCTGGTGGCTCAGTGATTAAGAGTCCGGCTGCTAACCAAAAGGTCGGCAGTTCGAATCTACCATTCTCTCCTTGGAAACTCTATGGGGCAGTTCTACTCTGTCCTGTAGGGTTGCTATGAGTCAGAATCAACTTGACGGCAATGGGTTTGGTTTTGTTTTTTGGACCCATTGAAGATGGTTCTGCTTTTCCCACTCAGTTTTGTAACTGCCGCTGAGCTCCCAACAGCTATCCTGGCATTATCCATCAACAGGTTATATACACACTTTTGTGATATACATGCTTTTGTGGTATACACGCTTTCGTGATGCAGAGCTACTGGGGAAGGTGGAGGGGCTAAAGAAAAAGAGCCTCATTGCTAAGAAGGACGCTGAGAAGAAAGATACATCCAAAGAACTGCAGAGTGTGAGGAAAATATGTGAGAAAGGGAAGGGGAATCTTAAGAAGTAATGTCGTATACCGTGTACCCGTCTTAGTTACCTAGTGCTGCTGTAACAACTACCACAAGAGGTGGTTTTAAAAATCAGAAATTTATTTTCTCACAGTTCTGGAGGCTAGAAGTCCAAACCAGAGTCTCAGCTGTGTTGATTCCTTCCTCATCAGCAGCCCTGAGCGTTCCTTGGTTCCTTGGCTTTTAGACAATCCTCACAGGCATCTGTCGTACCCTGTATGTGTCTCTGTCTATTCTGCTCTTTTTATAACTAAGAAGTGATTAGGTTTAGAACCCACCTTACACTAGTTATGTCCTCATTAACACAACGAAACAAAAACCCTGTTTCCAAACAGGAACACATCCACAGGTACCAAACCAAAAACCAAACCCGTTGCTGTCAAGTCGATTCCAACTCATAGCGATGCTATAGGACAGAGTAGAGCTGCCCCCAAGGGTTTACCAAAGTTGTAATCTTTACAGAAACAGACTGCCACCTCTTTCTCCCATGGAGCAGCTGGTGAGTTTCAATCACCAACCTTTTGGTTAGCAGCAGAGTGCTTAACCACTGCGCCACCAGGGCTTTTCCATAAGTAAACAAAAAAAACCCGTTACCATCAAGTCCATTCCGACTCCCAGTGACCCTATAGGACAGAGTAGAACTACTCCATAGGGTTTCCAAGGAACAGCTGGTGGATTCGAAGTGCCAACCTTTTGGTTAACAGCCAACCTCTTAATAACTGAACCACCAGGGCTCCATCTATAAGTACAAGAGTGAGTAATTCAACACATACTTTTGGGGGACACAATTCAATCTATAATAATTCCCTTCACACTTGAAAAAAAATACAAGCAGAGACACTTTGACCTGGTTATTGCTGTGGGACTAGACCACATGGTCAGCTTCAGGAGGATTACAAAAATCTGCCATCAACAGGGGAAGACTGAGGAACGATGGTACCTGGAAGGAGTAAATGTAAATTGTCCAGCTCCAAAATGGAGTTTGCCCTTGTCTACAGTAGTGAACATCCAAAATACTTAATACCTGTAGAGAGCAGTTACTGGCCAATTAGTACAGATTCAGATACAATGCTGAGACAGAGTCCCAAGGCTATCTGCAGTCCACGTGGTAACCCTTTAGCTGCTAGAATCATGAGGAGTTTTTTGGGTCCTAGGAAAGGGGTCAGGGAGGTAGACTGAGGGCACTCGATGGACATAAATGCTTAACTATTTTAACAATTAGTCCAGCTATCCCAGTGTGTACCCACTGAATATCAGTTCTGCTTGCACCATTATGGAAGCAAGCTGTTGGTTCAGAAGAAGACCCACTTAGCAAGGCATGAGGGACTACTTCAGGGTCAAAGGAATTGAAATTTTCTAGGGGGAATGGTTTTCTATGACAAGGGTAAACGTGAATGTAGACGTTCATTCATTCAATATACCTTTATAAAGTGCTACTATACGCGGGGTCACCATGAGTCAGAATCAACTCAACAGCAACTGGTGTATTATACATGCTGGACACTGTGCTAGGTTGTGTCGTGGGCAGGAAGTGGAGGTCGGAGTGAGAAGTGAAAGAATGAATCAGACCCAAGAGAATACGTGAAGGATTAATGCTTTATACTTCTTATTTTGCTTTTATTGTTGTTATTAGATGCCATCAAGTCGGTTCTGACTTATAGCGACCCCATGTACAAGAGAACGAAACCCTGCCTGGTCCTGCGCCATGCTCACAATCGTTGCTACGTTTGAGCGCACTGTTGCAGCCACTGTCTCAATCCATCTCGTTGAGGGTCTTCCTCTTTTTCGCTGACCCTGTGTCTTACCAAGCATGATGTCCTTCTCCAGGGACTGGTCCCTCCTGATAACATGTCCAAAGTACGTGAGACAAAGTCTCGCCATCCTAGCTTCTAAGGAGCATTCTGGCTGTACTTCTTCCAAGAAAGATTTGTTCATTCTTTTGGCAGTCCATGGTATATTCAGTATTCTTCACCAACACCAAAATTCAAATCACCAGTTCTTCTTTGGGTCTTCTTTATTCATTGTCCAGCCTTCACATGCATATGAAGCAGCTGAAAATACCATGCCTAAGGTCATATGCATTCTGACTCGACTCATAAAGTATGAGTCAGAATTGACTTGAAAGACAACAGGTTTGGTTTTTTTTTTTTTTTTGTTTTTGTTTTTTGGTTTAGGGTCAGATGCACTTAGTCCTCAAAGTGACATTTTTGCTTTTTACACTTTAAGGAGGTCTTTTGCAGCAGATTTGCCCAATGCAATATGTTGTTTGATTTCTTGACTGCTGCTTTCATGGGCGTTGATTGTGGATCCAAGTAAAATGAAATCCTTGACAACTTCAATCTTTTCTCTGTTTATCTTGATGTTGCTTATTGGTCCAGTTTTGAGGATTTTTGTTTTCTTTATGTTGAGGTGTAATCCATTCTGAAGGCTGTGGTCTTTGATCTTCATCAGTAAGTGGTTCAAGTCCTCATCGCTTTCAGCACACGAAGTTGTGTCATCTTCATATCGCAGGTTGTTAATGAGTCTTCTTCCCATCCTGATGCCGTACTCCTCTTCATATAGTCCAGCTTCTCGGATTATATGCTCAGCATACAGAATGAATAAGTATGATGAAAGGATGTAACCCTGACACACACCTTTCCTGATTTTATTACTTACCCAATTTCTGTCAATAAAATTGAACTCTACCATCCTGTTTTTGTTTATAATGCTAACTAAAAAATTCTAGGATCCAGAATTCATAATTTAGAGAAAAAAAAAAAGAGTCCCTTTCCTCTGCAGTTACTGAGAGTCAGATCTTCCTATGGTATAAAATTAGTTCAGAACACTGACCTGGTAAGGTGTTAACCGAAAACATTCGTGAGAATGCCCATGGCCTCTTCCTGTGCAAAACCGAGACGTGTGTGTGTGCACGTACGTGTCTGCGACCGTTACTAATTTGTTGTATGCTCTGGAAGTACAGTTTGAACAAAGCAGTCTTATAAAACCCCGAAGACTTAAAATGATTTCCAGATCCTATGGGAATAACTTGTAATGCTGATTGATTGACTTCTTGATTATTTGTTATCACGGTAAAATTGATGGAACTGCCATCTCTCAAGTGCTAACAGTATTAGTT